TATAATGACTTCAAAGCAGATATTGGTCTGTGCCAGTGTAAGTATAAGTATAAGAAAGCCAGGGGTGGAACAAATAGGCAAGCATGCGAGCACTGCTCGCAGGAAATGTTAAACAGCTGCAGGAAATTCGTTTGAATGAAGATTTGCTATTGAAAATTTGAAGGAAACCTTAACACCCATGTCCCACTATGGGCGCAACAACATATGGTTGACAGACATTATTCCCTAAGTATATGTTTATGCAGATTTAGCACAAAAATACTTGTTGGTATGCAGCAAATTCAGTTTTCTCCAGGTTGTGCTCCCAAGAAGAAAATTAGTTTATGAACTATAATTTTACATCAAATGATTATAGATGAATGAAAGACTTCAAAAAGGCTTTGTGTCAAAGTTACGTATTCGAGACGATGACACCATTGTGATGTCACAGAAAGTTCATTCTTGTCCAATACTCTCGACTCTTAACGATCCGTGAACACCGCTAGGTTTCGTTCGAATCGTTCGAATGGTAAAAAAGTTAATTTGCCCTCTGTATAAGTTATTCGTGGTAGTTTGATCATTATTTAACTTACTGATTACGTCATTACCTGTACAGAGATCTAGTCTATTCGCACCATTCCTACGAATCGTACGAATCGTTCGATTCGTGAACTCTCCCATATCCGTTCGAATGGTTAGATTTCACTTACTGGTGACGTCATCACATCTATAGAGGTCCACTATAATATTCGTACAATTCGTACGAATCGTGCGAACCGTTCGATTCGTGAAGTCTCTCCTATTCGTTCGAATGGTTAGATTTGTTAATCTATGTGTTTCCCTCGTTCTTTAGAATAACAACGTATACAGCTAATAGAAATGTGTCTAACAATGTACATGGAAAACACCTAGATCTCTTACATCATCTTTCCGTTAAAATAATTTGCGTGTTTTGTGCAACATGATTGTATTCGGAATGTGTTCGTGTGAGAGACGATAGTTAATCTATGTGTTTCCCTCGTTCTTTAGAATAACAACGTATACAGCTAATAGAAATGTGTCTAACAATGTACATGGAAAATGCCTAGATCTCTTACATCATCTTTCCGACGTTCTTTAAAATAATTTGCGTGCTTTGTGCAACATGATTGTATTCGGAATGTGTTTCGTGTGAGAGACGATAGTTAATCTATGTGTTTCCCTCGTTCTTTAGAATAACAACGTATAGAAGTGGATCTATTAACAATGTGTATAAAACACGTTTACACGCGTACTTTCTATAAAAGTGTATAAATGTACTGGTTCTTTGAAATAACTTAACCTGGCCATTGTGAGAGTGAGAATTAATACGTTTCCCTCGTTCTTAACTCAACACGATTCATTCAATTACACAACGGAAAGAAGTATATATATGTGTCAGTTTATGCAAATTCTACATTTACCCCTTTCTTCAAAGCTCGAAACGCTGAAGTTATTAAGACTATACTCTACAGTTACTAACTTACATTTCAATTTAATATTGTAGCATGTTTGTTTCTAATTGTCATTTAGCTTGCGTGATTTTATGTGCCAGGGTCATGGGCGTACCGGAAGGAAAAAATTAGGGGGGCGGAAGAAAATTGCCCGACTGTTCGAATTCTGCCCGACTAGTATCAAAAAAATTTTCCCGGAAAAATTATTTTGGCGACCCCCCCCCCCCAGTGTACCATTTTAGGGGTCAAAAATTTTTCCGGACAACCAATTTTTTTCGGAACATAACACAAATTTTCGAAAAATCGCAAAATTTCCCAAAAAATGGACTTAATTTTAGACAAAATTGACAGAATTTGTCCCATTTTTTTTATTGCAAGCCAAAATTGCCCGACTGTTGATCGCATATTGCCCGACTGCCCAAAAAACTGGGGGGGCTGCCGTCCCCCCCGCCCCCCCGCCCGGTACGCCTATGAGTGAACACCCCCTAGTTCCCGCACCCAAAATCGAGTTTGTCTGGCCTTTCTTCAATTCTCCCACCATTATTCTGTCACCTATATGCGGATAAAAAATCCTTCGACCCCCCCCCCCCAAGTTAAACACCAGTTGCCTTCGTAACAAAACAATATTTTATTATTGCTATTGTGGGCACCAGCCGACGTGGGCGGGCGACGTTAGAGAGTTTAACCTTCGCGTTATACGGCAAACGCCAGGCAAAGAAAAATTTTACGGTATCAGGCAATAAAGAATAAATGAACTTGCCGTTTTCGAACTGCAATGCATGACTATTCTTTCGACACAAGAAGGAAAATATGAAACTAAAACGTTTAACGAAAATTTTGCGAAGAAAGTTCGAAACTGCCGTTTGCCGTTCCCGGAAACACCTAACCTGAGTATCAGGCCGTACTTTTTAGGGCACAGGCACGCCTGATCGTGGGCGAAAGGGAGAAAAGTACGGCCTGACACAGAGGAGGAATGAGGGTCTTCCCGAAATGCAACGCGTGAATCAGTGCGGCTCATTATTATTCAAGCTATTTATTCTCAACACGCCGTTCGATTAAAAACTGTTGAAATATATTGCGATTTTTGCTGTGAAGATCTCGTTTTCTC